CCCTGTACTCCAGGCCCGGTTCTTTGCAAAGAAGCCCTCTACTGCTCCGAGCCCTTGAGGGACTTCAGGCCCTTGGACGCCACCTTCCCTGGAGGGAACGGAATGCTGGCCCTTCCCAAGACTTGATGGGAAGCAGCTGTTCCTCCACTCCCTGTCCCCACCCTTTGTGCTCTCAGGTTGACTGGGCAGAGTGATGATGAGCCCAAACGGATCAAGAAGAGCAAGATGATCGCCAAGGCCTTCTCTAAGCGGCGTGAGCTACTGCAGAACCCGGGCCAGGAGCTGTCCTTCAGCATGCACACCGTCTCACACGACGGGCCCGTGGGTGAGCAAGAGCTCCTTCCCTCCATCTGAGCTGCCAGCTGCAGCGCCTATGCCCACTCCCTCCCAGGCTGGCGGGGGCTCCTACATTGTTTGGAGGAGGCAGGTGCTTCCTCCTCGCTTCCTCCTCTCACTGACATGCTCATTCCTCTCCAGGGGGATTCTCTTCTCTCTAGTTTCTGTCCCTGTCTTTTTGCTGGTGCTTTAGTTCCAAGAAGACTCACCTACCTCTCCTTTTTTCTCCTAAATTCTCCACTTGCTCTTCCTGGATTTCTGTCATCTGGTTGGTCCTTTGGGAACCTGAGGCCCAGGTTCAGATTCTGAGTGGGTAGTAGAGATCACTGTGTTACAGGATGAGCTGTTTTTTGTTTTTGTTTTATTTTGAGACAGAGTCTCACTTGGTCACCTTTGGTAGGGTGCCATAGCATCTTAGCTCATAGTGACCTCAAACTCTTGGGTTCAAGTGATTCTCTTGCCTTAGCCTCCCAGGTAGCTGGGACTATAAGCACTTGCTACAGCACCTGGCTGTACAGGATGAGCTTTTTCTGGTGGAGCAGGAAGGATTGGCTGGAGGAAGATAAATAGTGCTGAATAAGGGAAGAGTCACTGCCAGGACTGGGGGAGTCACTGCTCCTTCTTTTCTTCTATTCCCATAGCGGGTTTGGCCTTTGACCTCAATGAGCCCTCAGCTGATGTCTCTTCTGCCTGGGCCCAGCATGTCACCAAGATGGTGGCTCGGAGAGGAGCCATACTGCCCCAGGATGTTTCTGTCACCCCTGTGGCAACCCCAGGTATGAGGGTTCAGGCTTCTGGAGGAAGGTGGAGGGCACAGAGCCTGGGGACTCCTGGGCCTGGACACAGGGACTGCCAGAAAGGCAGGAAGAAAAAAAGGCCCCGACATATCTGAAGGGTGAGGCGGGGGTGCTGAAAGTCTAAAGGTGTGGGTCCCAGAGCTAAAGGAGCAAGAGTCCAGGGAGAGCAGACATGTTGTGGACAGAGCCAGGGCCCCAGACTCGTTTATCTCTCCCCTGTCAGTGCCCCCTGAGGAACATGCCAACCTCTGGCTGGTAGAAGCAGAGATCTCCCCAGAGCTGCAGAAGCGCCTGGGCCGGAAGAAGAAGAGGAGGAAGAGGAAGAAGGAGGTGTGCCCTCTGGGGCCACCCCCAGAGCTTCACCATGCTGCTCCTGCCTCCAGTGCTGTTCCTCGACTGCCTCAGCTGCCCCGGCAGAAATGTCTGGTGGCAGCGGGCACCTGGGGAGCCAGTGAGCCCTGCCGACAGGGAACCTGGGCTCTGGTCTCCAACCCATTCTGCCCAGAGCCTAGTCCCCTCCAGGATCCATTCCTGCCCAGTGTGCCTGCCCCCATGGCCTGGGCTCACGGCCGCCGGCAGGGTCTGGGTCCCATACATTCCCGCACCAACCTGATGGAGGCAGAGCTCATGGATGCGGACTCGGACTTCTGAGCCTGTAACTGGAAAGATGGGAACAAATATCTCTCCAGGCTCTTAATGCTTCCCTAGGATCTTGTCTTCCAGAGAACCTGTGGGCCAGGTGCCTTGCCAGGAGAGTTCTGTATGTCTGGCTCAAGGCAGCAGGACTGTAGGAAAGAGCCCAACATCTCTGTGGTGGGCTCAGGGCCCTTGTTACTTCCCTACCAGCTGGAGTCTGATTGGCAGCATCAGTCTCCAACAGGGTCATGGGGTACACAGAAATTGTGGTGTGGCAGTAATGGCAGAGGCAGGGGTGACACTACCTGGAGTGTGCTGTGATACCCAGGGAGGCAGCCAAGCCTATGTCAGACAAGGGCTGGCTGCCCATTTCTGGGTGGATGAGTGCCCTATCCTGGCACTCTCAGACCAAAAGTGTTTATTGTGTCATTAGTTCTTTGCCTAAGTAGGGACAGGGCTCTGATTTCCTCTCCTAGGTGGTCATGGGGCTGGGAGGGGCCAGAACCTCTCCTGACAGGTGGCCCTACTCCACATCCATTCTCAGTTTCCTTGTCCTTCTCCTCTCCTATTTCAGTTTAGCCAGGCCAACCTCTTTCTGTTGATTAGGACTCGGAGCGGCAGCACACACACTTACACCCCCACCCTACCCTCACCATGCGCTCAGCACCATCTCCAGGGGAGAGAGTGATTCAACTCTAGCACCTTGGCCTGGTGTGGAACAGAAGCAGTAAATGGCGAGGCCTCAGACAGACACATTATCTCTTCCTCATACCCATTCGGTGGGGGTGGGTCCTCTTGACTTGAGAGGCTACCTTGGGAGCTGCTGTAGCTTCAGCCAGGCAAGAAAGCTTCCTTCAACCTCCAAACAGGTCCCCACAGCCCCCCTTTGAAGAACCAGACAGCAGCAAGTTGTAGAAGCTGGCTGGGTTCCATGCTGGGGGATAGAGATGGGGAGAAGAAATATAAACAGTAAATAAAAGGGTTTTGTATAAACTGTTGGTGGTTTTTTGGTGGTGGTGGTTTTTTTTATAGGCCCCGGTCCTGGCCTATTTACCTGGTCCTGATCTCTTGTCTTCCGTGTCCTCCTAAAGCCTTTCTTAAAGGTCAAGAACTTGGTGCTAATGAGGTCACTACTAACAGTCGTACTTGAGGCCAGTGTCAGCTGTGTGTGCTGGCTATCCTCCTTGTCCAGTTGGCTATATGTGGACAAAAGCTCTTCTGTAGCCACTGCTGCCTCACTGAGTGCTGATCGCAGATGAGTGAGCACAAGCTCACAGCTCAGCCCTGCAGTGTCAATGGGAAACAAGCTTCTCCCTGGTGATGATCACGTGTAGGTGGGCAGGGCTCCTCCTGGCAGTCCTGGGCTGCACTTCTGGAAGCCTGTTGCCTGGCCTGGCACTGATCTACAGCATCCTCCCTGGCCAAAGGAATTTCGGCTATGTGCAGAAAAGCAGTCAGAGGCTGGGAACTAGATCTCACAGACTCAGATGTGGAAGGAGACCCGTGGAGGAAAGCAAGTGGTGCCCACAGACTTGGAGAGTATTGTGGACACTGACCAGTCTTGTTAGGAGAGTACCTTTTCCTACTGCTGTTCATGTAATGGGACACAGCATTGTGACCAGAGCCAGCCTCCAGGAGAAGGAAAAGGGATCTACTAACATAATGACTGTAGTCTGGGCTTTTAATGCACGCATTACTGTGTGATAACAGGTGCTCTCAGGGAGTGCTTGCTCCCTCAGGGAGTGCTTGCTCCCCCGGGCTCTTTGCATACCTTATCTCACTGAGTCTCAGCACAGACCTTAACACCCCTCAGGATGCTGAGGCACAAAAAGTTTCTGTAGGCTTGCCCCAGACCACACAGTAAGCCTTAATGCTGGGATTCTGACAGGACCCTCTGGCTCAGTGGGCACTTAGCTGTGGTGCTCCACTGCCTCACTTTTGATTCAGAGAGTAATGATCTAATCGGAGGAGCTCTAAGTTCAGTGAAGCCCAATGACTGGCTTACAACCTTGTAGCTAGCCAGGGAAAGATACTGAATTCAGGGTCTTCCTGACTCCAATGTCTGTGAACTCTCAGTTCTGACCATGACTTTGGTTCCCATCTAGATCTCCCATTCTGTGCACCTTCTGTGCCGCCTGCCTGTTCATCTTTGCCTTCTCTGAGCAGTGCAGTAGTTAAGTTTTAGCCTTTTCTTTTTTTGCAGTTTTTTGGCCGGGGCTGGGTTTGAACCCGCCACCTCTGGCATATGGGTTACTCCTTTGAGCCACAAGCACCGCCCAAGTTTTAGCCTTTTTTTTTTCCTTCAGAGACAGAGTCTCACTTTATCACCCTTGGTACAGTGCTGTGACATCACAGCTCACAGTAATCTCCAACTCCTGGGCTTAGGTGATTGTCTTGCCTAAACCTCCCAAGTAGTTAGGACTACAGGCGCCCACCACAACACCCGGCTATTTTTTGTTGTTGTTGCAATTTGTCTGGGGCCAGGCCTGAACCTGCCACCCTTGGTATATGGGGCCAGTGTCCCACCCAGTGAGCCATAGGTGCCACCCTAGCCTTTTTTTTTTTTACACAATATTTTTTAAACAATAGTATTTAACAGTAATACTTATCAGAGTCATTTAATGAGCTTTTCTGAAACAAGAGAATGTCAGGATTTTCTTTTCACCTCCAGGGACAGTTGACTACAAGCTTCCCCTCCATCTTTCCTTCTGTCCTTTCTTTTTTTTTTTTTT